CACTATAAGCATTTAAAATGTGCAAAGCACGAAGGTAACAAAGAATATTTAGAAAAGTTTCACTTAATCTTTGAAAATTCATTTAACAAATTAAAATGATATCAACAAAATTCAACGATTTTATTTGATTGCTTTTGTAAATAAATAAATTGTTTGTAAAAACACAGCGAATTGTTTAAGAAGACAAAGTATAAATTTATGACCGTTTTTAGCTTTTTTTTCGGGCTACATTTTTCTTGCTTAAATTAAATCGAATAATAATTATATATGCCAATCGATCTAGCTGTACCGAACACAAGAACAGGGCCTTGTATATATTTAACTGTGGCCCTATTTATTTTATTTAATATAAATATTAAATCCTATAATTATTATAGATGCCCATCCGTCTACTAATATCATACAGAAAGGCTGGGCTTTGCATATATTTAACTGTTGGCTATTTTATTTTAATTATTATAAAAATGTAATCAGTTCTTATTTAACTAAGTTGTATTGGCATCACTTTGTAAGGCCTTGCAGTCTAATACTAATGAGGTTTTCATATTATTGTTCAAACTAGCCTATTGATGAATTTCCCCCTATTTTCAAAATCTAACAGCAAACGAAACAGCGAAAAGCTGCGCTACAAAATGGAATTGAAATACAAGAGAGCGAGAAACTCTCTGAAAAGCAGACTCTCTCGAGTGACGCGCTCTCTCAAAATCTCTCTCTCCCAATCTCTCTCTCTCTCTCTTTCTGTCGGTCTGCGTTTGCTTTCGCAACCTCAGACAATACGAAACAGGTTTTGTGCGAGCGTATTTCCTTTCTGGCCAAGTTAGCTCGGATTTCCTTAGCCTGACTTCCGGTCGTTGCCGTCGGCCGAAGTCGTGCGTGTGGCCCAAGTGAAAAGCAGGTAATGAGAAGAGCGAAGCTTTTAGTCTTGGTCGGTTATTGGTGCTGTGTGGTTGAGACGACGACAAGCGCTGCGAGCCCGACAGAAGAAGCGACGACTGCGACGACGACGACGACGCAACGACGACGACGACGATGATTCGTAATGTGTGTGTGTGTGTGTGTGTGAATTAGCAGTGAAAAGGTTAAACTAGGTGTGCGAGTGTGTGCATATGACAAGGCAGAAACAAAATAAAAACAACAACAACAACAGCAAAAATAAGTCTATGAGTGTGGGACTGCAGCAAAACACTCGCGAATCGCATTCACATTCAAGCGAGTGTATTCAAACATTTATTTGCCGTCTCGTTTGACAAATTAAAATGCATAAATTATGAATGAAAGTAGCGTTACGTGCGTGTCAACTAATAATTTGTTATTATTCTAATGCACGTGGCCAGCGCTCGAAATACTTTGCACCCCGTGTAACTTCAACTCAAACTGGCGAGACATGGCCGTGAACCGCGCCTTCCGCCTCCTCGCATAAGCCGAATAAACAACAACAAAAAATATGCCAATTGCCAGCAGCAACAACAATAGAAACAACAACAACAAGCGCAGCAGCTCAGAGGCAAAGCTGCCTTTTCATTGCCAACATCGTCCACTTCCTGGCCACAAAGCATATTAAGACCCAGAGCGGCAAAGCAAAATGTGAGTATTACAGTGAGTCGCACAATTTAAGCCATATTTCCCTTGAGGGCGGCGGGGGCGGACGCTCTGCACATTTTTCTAATGGACTGCTCAACAAATTTCAGTTGAAATTTTAGCCCGTGCCGCACACGCGCCTCAGGTGTCCACATAAATTACAATAATTATGAAACTCTAGCTATAAAACGGCCAAAACAGTGGCCAAAACGGTGGCCAAAACGGTGGCCGTTTATCTGCCTCAAGTTGCGTTAGTTTATGAGGCCAATTTAAAAATTGACATTCTTATTTAAAGCAATTGAAAAGCTTAACCAAAATATATTAAAGTTATTTGGCTTTCAAGTATTTAAATATATTTTGTGACATTGTAAGAAAAGCCAAAAAAAGCTGGTTTTATTTTTGGAATTTAATCAAAAATGTAGCTAAAAATACAAATTCGTCAAATTGCTTTTCAGCTTTTATTTCAAGACTTTCAACGAGAGAGTCTCTTAAGAACGAGATTTTACATAAATTGTAAGCAAACGTCAGGTGCTCGAGTCGCAAGTGCTCGATAGATAAATGTATTAAATTGTTAAATGATGCAAACATTTTGAGCAAAAAATTTTGCAATATTTATATAAATTTTATCTTTTACTTTACTTTGCGGTAGAACAATTAGTTGGCCTTACTCTTGTATTTAATTTATAAACATTTAGTTTATGTTGCAATTTGAGCTTAAATTTTAAAGCAATCACCGGCTCAAGAGAGCCTGCCAAAGGGACAGCATTGGCCCTGGCCCCAACGCACATACAGAAAAGCAGCACAAAAATAAATGGCCCGACTCAGAACAACGATGTTCAGTCAGTCAGTCAGTCTGTCAGTTTGTCTGTCAGCCAGTCGGAGAGTCTGTCATTTAGTCAGTCAAGCAGTGCTGGCATTCAGTCATTTCTTTATTCAGCATTCAGCCGAGCTTGGCCTACATAGCAGCACGAGTTTAGCCTGTTTGTGTATAGGTGTGCATGTGTGTGTTTATGTATGTGTGTGTGTGTGTGTGCGTGCAAGTGTTTGCAGTGAGGATGGCTTTGTTGCTGCGGCTATCGAAATGTCTTGCCACGTTGCCTTCGTGTGGCAATGTCGGGCTTAAACCGAAATTTAAAATGCGAATTGCGGCACACACACGGCGTATGCGTAATATAATTTCATCAGGCCAAGCTGCCGAAGATGCGCTCCAACCTGGCAGCCCAGCCCAGCAAGCAGTTGATGACCTCTGCGAGGCGGCCTCCTTCGGCCTTGGTGCTGCTTCGCTTCGGTTATTTGCATATTTAACAAGGCGTCGCCATTCAAGCCACATAATTAATTATGCAAAAGGTTGAGAAAAACAGAACTTGTCTATGTAAATGCTCGAGCTAGTCTATTTACTTATACACATGCCTGACAGGATAGAGTATACGCACCGTGGTCCAAACAACTATTTTGCATAAGCCACTCGCATGGCTGGCACGTGCCTGAATCTAGCTTTAAATAGCTGACAACAAGGTGCTAAAATTATTCATAGCTTCTAATTACGTAACATGATTTTCATTTGAAAAGTTCTCTCTCTCTCTCTCTCTCTCACTTGCTGTGTGTGTTCAGTTTCTTATGTTTGTTTAATTGATTTTATGTAAATTCAATTTTTGGCCAAGCAAAACAAATGAAAACCCAAATGCAAAGCTCTTGTCATATTTCACTTTTGAGATTTCGAAATTTGCCAACAAATATTATTAATTTATGCACCTATTTATGTATTTGTCTCGCTGCGTCTCGAGCAGCTTAATTGACTTCATATCATGGCACTCGAATTAGTCGCCAGCTCGACGCATCTTTTGGGAGAGTACATAATTGCCATTGAACACATTCTGCTAGTTATTTATTAATTACGCTGCATTCAATAGATAACTTCGTTATGAAAACATATCAATTTACAAGTAATACAATGGAATCTATTAATGTGGGGCCAATCATAATATTTTATATTGACTCAAATGTGCTAGGATTATATAACATATTGAATGTCCTAGCATATTATGTAAAAAACTGAATTTTATTAAAATTTATAAATAATTTGCTTTGCATGCTTCTTTATTAAATTAATTAATTACTTTTAATGGGTATAAGGGTACTTAAAAAATGGGTATAAGGGTATATTGTATTTGTGCAAAATCCAAATGTATGTGACAGGCAGAAGGAAGCATCTCCAACCCCATAAAGTATATATATTCTTGATCAGCATCAATAGCCGAATCGATCTAGCCATGTCCGTCTGTCTGTCCGTCTGTCCATCTGTCTGTCCGTCCGTCTGTCCGTCCGTATGTATGAACGCAAGGATCTCAGATATAAGAGCTAGAGACTTGAAATAGATTAGATGTAGATGCTCCTAGTGCCTGCGCAGATCGAGTTTGTGTCCGATAATCGATAACTTACTCCGTTTCCAAGCAATCGATAAAAATCGATATCGATATCCTTTTTTTTGGGCAATTTTGGTAAATAATAAGAGCTAGAGTCACCAAACTTGACATATAGCTTCTAAAATAGAATATATACATATATGCATTTGATGTTGAAAAAAGAGGGTTCAGGGTATTCCCTAGTCGGGAGCTCCCGACTAGAACCTCTTACCTCTTAATTTATAGCAGCTTGTTCAAAATTATTAACTATCAAATATTCATTAAAAACATTTCCTAAACTAATTTAATTTTATTTTGAATTTAAAGACATAAATAATAAAAAAATTAACTATATTTTATTTGTACTTAATTTCTTGCAGTTTAATAGTTGCAACTGGCACGGAACAAAGTCTGTTGCCATACAAATGTTGTTGGAAATTTGGAAACTGTAATTTTTTTTGATGCTTCAATTAATTTAACCACACAAAGTGGAAGAAGCAGCAGAAGAAGAAGAACAACAACAACAAGAGGGAGAGAAGACAAACTGTAATGGGAAAGGAAGCAAAGACAAACGCGCGCAAATAACAGACAAACACAAATTGCTGAACAAACACTGGCAGGACGCAGGACATGTAAATGTAACTGCGAACACATTCATGTACGTGTCTAAAGGTGTGTGTGTTTGTGTGTGTGTGTGTGTGTAGAGCGCATAATAAGAAGAGCAAATAGCAAGAAGCGCGTGGAAAATAAAAATAAATAGCTAACGACAAAACGCAGACCACAACCAAAAGGAGAAAGGCGAAAGGAGAAAGTAGGGGAAGCGGAAGTGGTGGATAGAGGAAGAAAGGAGGACATCGGATCCTGGTGGGTGACGCGTTCCCCCGTTGGCGGTCAAGGCAAATTTATTGCATTGCGCAAATGAGACAACAACAAGACGAGCAGCCAAACTAATACGCAAAGCAAACAGCAGTAAAAGCAGCCAAAGGAGAACAAAATGGAATAAGTAGAAGCAACAAAAAAAAAAAAAAACAACACGCTGCGTGCCCCAAATTGTAGCTAAAGAAAAATAACCGAAAAATTCCGCAACAAATTGAAAAATTAAAGTTTTACCAGCTTGGCGCCAAACTAACGAAACCGACGAAAGAAAAACTTGGCCAAGAAAAAGCGCCAAAAGTGTTACAAACAGCCACACCAGAAGAGAGAAAACCCAGCCAGACGGAGCAGACTGAGGAGGGAGGAAGACGCAACGGAACACATTAATGCAACAAAATGGGTGCAACTTTGAATAGACGACGACGTGGCCGTTGCCTGCAACTGAGCGCCTGCTGCTCCTGCTCCAGCTCCTGCTACTGCTCCTCCACATCCTTCACATTCTGTCGCCTGCTAGTGCTGGCTCTGACACTGGCCGCCCTGCTCTGCAGCGGTGAGTACTTTACGGGCGGGGGGGGGGCTTGGGGGCTAGTTCCTGAATGTTTATTTAATTTATTAGCAACTTTGGCGAACGCCAACGCCAGCAACAAACGGGCCCTACAAAAATTGGCCAAGAAGTTTTCCTTTTTTGTACACAGTTCTTTTGGTTGGGAGGCGTGCAAATATTTTCGCCAACATTATTAGTTTGGCAGCCACATTTTGGCGCCCCTTTAAGAGCCATGTGCCACATTCTGATACGAGCTCTTAATCGATTTAAGGCCGGGCAGACTTTGACAGTTCACAGAGTCAACGGCGAGCCAAAGCTTTCGCATTCTTGGATCCCGAATACATTGCCAAGCTGCTCAAATCTCTACAGAAATTGGCAGGCGATAAACTTTGTGGCATGTTTAACCCTCTTCGCGACCTTCGGCTCACTTCAGACTTGACGCATTAATCTGAACTTTGGCTTACTTATTTTTAATTAAGTTCATCAAACTACTTGAATATATAAACAAAAATTAACTGCCAACTTGGCCCTGTGGCCAGATTTGGGGACATTGAGACTAAGTTGAATTCAAAGGAATGCAAAATTTGATTAAAAAATTCAGATTTTTGTTTATTTTAATTCTTTGCAATATATTCAATATGTACATAGATTTGCAGCAGATACATTTTGTTATTTAATAGCTGGCATACGCGACGTATGTGTAATGCAAACAAATCACAAAAACTGTTTGTCGCCTTCCAATTGGTTAAATACAAATATAAATATAATCATATATTTCTGTTAAAAAAAAGAGAATTTCAATAGTTATTATTGAAATTTGTAATCTTGATAGATATCCGAACAAAAAGTTATATTTGTCATACGATTTTTCGGGTGGGTAACATTTTAACAGGAGTTTCGACCAAAAATAGTGTTGTCAGATTTTGATGCCAAATTGATTTACAGGCCAAACCATAATCAAAAACCCACGTTTCGTGAAAATCGGATAAGATTTGACCAAGTTATGGGGTTGGGAAATTTTGACCCATGTCTATATATGAATTTTGGGGTAAGATTTTGGCATGAAATTCGACTAAAAAATATGTGTTCAGATTTGAATGCCAGATTAATCTGGAGGGAAAACTATGAAGAAAAGGCCAAACCTCGTGAGAATCGGATGAGATTTGACCAAGTTATGGGGTTGGGAAATTTTGACCCATGTCTATATAGGAATCTTGGGGTAAGATTTTGGCATGAAATTCGACTAAAAAATATGTGTTCAGATTTGAATGCCAGATTAATCTGGTGGGAAAACTATGAAGAAAAAGCCAAACCTCGTGAGAATCGGATGAGATTTGACCAAGTTATGGGGTTGGGAAATTTTGACCCATGTCTATATAGGAATCTTGGGGTAAGATTTTGGCATGAAATTCGACTAAAAAATATGTGTTCAGATTTGAATGCCAGATTAATCTGGAGGGAAAACTATGAAGAAAAAGCCAAACCTCGTGAGAATCGGATGAGATTTGACCAAGTTATGGGGTTCGGAAATTTTGAGCCATGTCTATATAGGAATCTTGGGGTAAGATTTTGGCATGAAATTCGACTAAAAAATATGTGTTCAGATTTGAATGCCAGATTAATCTGGAGGGAAAACTATGAAGAAAAAGCCAAACCTCGTGAGAATCGGATGAGATTTGACCAAGTTATGGGGTTGGGAAATTTAGACCCATGTCTATATAGGAATCTTGGGGTAAGATTTTGACATGAAATTCGACTAAAAAATATGTGTTCAGATTTGAATGCCAGATTAATCTGGAGGGAAAACTATGAAGAAAAAGCCAAACCTCGTGAGAATCGGATGAGATTTGACCAAGTTATGGGGTTGGGAAATTTTGAGCCATGTCTATATAGGAATCTTGGGTTAAGATTTTGGCATGAAATTCGACTAAAAAATATGTGTTCAGATTTGAATGCCAGATTAATCTGGAGGGAAAACTATGAAGAAAAAGCCAAACCTCGTGAGAATCGGATGAGATTTGACCAAGTTATGGGGTTGGGAAATTTTGACCCATGTTTATATAGGAATCTTGGGGTAAGATTTTGACATGAAATTCGACTAAAAAATATGTGTTCAGATTTGAATGCCAGATTAATCTGGAGGGAAAACTATGAAGAAAAAGCCAAACCTCGTGAGAATCGGATGAGATTTGACCAAGTTATGGGGTTGGGAAATTTTGACACATGTCTATATAGGAATCTTGGTGTAAGATTTTGGCATGAAATTCGACAAAAAAATATTTGTTCAGATTTGAATGCCAGATTAATCTGGAGGGAAAACTATGAAGAAAAAGCCAAGCCTCGTGAGAATCGGATGAGATTTGACCAAGTTATGGGGTTGGGAAATTTTGACCCATGTCTAGATAGGAATCTTGGGGTAAGATTTTGGCATGAAATTCGACTAAAAAATATGTGTTCAGATTTGAATGCCAGATTAATCTGGAGGGAAAACTATGAAGAAAAAGCCAAACCTCGTGAGAATCGGATGAGATTTGACCAAGTTATGGGGTTGGGAAATTTTGACCCATGTCTATATAGGAATCTTGGGGTAAGATTTTGGCATGCAATTCGACTAAAAAATATGTGTTCAGATTTGAATGCCAGATTAATCTGGAGGGAAAACTATGAAGAAAAAGCCAAACCTCGCGAGAATCGGATGAGATTTGACCAAGTTATGGGGTTGGGAAATTTTGACCCATGTCTATATAGGAATCTTGGGGTAAGATTTTGGCATGAAATTCGACTAAAAAATATGTGTTCAGATTTGAATGCCAGATTAATCTGGAGGGAAAACTATGAAGAAAAAGCCAAACCTCGTGAGAATCGGATGAGATTTGACCAAGCTATGGGGTTGGGAAATTTTGACCCATGTCTATATAGGAATCTTGGGGTAAGATTTTGGCATGAAATTCGACTAAAAAATATGTATTCAGATTTGAATGCCAGATTAATCTGGAGGGAAAACTATGAAGAAAAAGCCAAACCTCGTGAGAATCGGATGAGATTTGACCAAGTTATGGGGTTGGGACATTTTGACCCATGTCTATATAGGAATCTTGGGGTAAGATTTTGGCATGAAATTCGACTAAAAAATATGTGTTCAGATTTGAATGCCAGATTAATCTGGAGGGAAAACTATGAAGAAAAAGCCAAACCTCGCGAGAATCGGATGAGATTTGACCAAGTTATGGGGTTGGGAAATTTTGACCCATGTCTATATAGGAATCTTGGGGTAAGATTTTGGCATGAAATTCGACTAAAAAATATGTGTTCAGATTTGAATGCCAGATTAATCTGGAGGGAAAACTATGAAGAAAAAGCCAAACCTCGTGAGAATCGGATGAGATTTGACCAAGTTATGGGGTTGGGAAATTTTGACCCATGTCTATATAGGAATCTTGGGGTAAGATTTTGGCATGAAATTCGACTAAAAAATATGTGTTCAGATTTGAATGCCAGATTAATCTGGAGGGAAAACTATGAAGAAAAAGCCAAACCTGGTGACAATCGGATGAGATTTGACCAAGTTATGGGGTTGGGAAATTTTGACCCATGTCTATATAGGAATCTTGGGGTAAGATTTTGGCATGAAATTCGACTAAAAAATATGTGTTCAGATTTGAATGCCAGATTAATCTGGAGGGAAAACTATGAAGAAAAAGCCAAACCTCGCGAGAATCGGATGAGATTTGACCAAGTTATGGGGTTGGGAAATTTTGACCCATGTCTATATAGGAATCTTGGGGTAAGATTTTGGCATGAAATTCGACTAAAAAATATGTGTTCAGATTTGAATGCCAGATTAATCTGGAGGGAAAACTATGAAGAAAAAGCCAAACCTCGTGAGAATCGGATGAGATTTGACGAAGTTATGGGGTTGGGAAATTTTGACCCATGTCTATATAGGAATCTTGGGGTAAGATTTTGGCATGAAATTCGACTAAAAAATATGTGTTCAGATTTGAATGCCAGATTAATCTGGAGGGAAAACTATGAAGAAAAAGCCAAACCTCGCGAGAATCGGATGAGATTTGACCAAGTTATGGGGTTGGGAAATTTTGACCCATGTCTATATAGGAATCTTGGGGTAAGATTTTGGCATGAAATTCGACTAAAAAATATGTGTTCAGATTTGAATGCCAGATTAATCTGGAGGGAAAACTATGAAGAAAAAGCCAAACCTCGTGAGAATCGGATGAGATATGACCAAGTTATGGGGGTGGGAAATTTTGACCCGTGTCTATATAGGAATCTTGGGGTAAGATCTTGGCATGAAATTCGACTAAAAAATATGTGTTCAGATTTGAATGCCAGATTAATCTGGAGGGAAAACTATGAAGAAAAAGCCAAACCTCGTGAAAATCGGATGAGATTTGACCAAGTTATGGGGTTGGGAAATTTTGACGCATGTCTATATAGGAATCTTGGGGTAAGATTTTGGCATGAAATTCGACTAAAAAATATGTGTTCAGATTTGAATGCCAGATTAATCTAGAGGGAAAACTATGGAGAAAATGCCAAACCTCGTGAGAATCTGATGAGATTTGACCAATTTGTGGGGTTGGGAAATTTTGACCCATGTCTATATAGGAATCTTGGGGTAAGATTTTGACATGAAATTCGACTAAAAAATATGTGTTCAGATTTGAATGCCAGATTAATCTGGAGGGAAAACTATGAAGAAAAAGCCAAACCTCGTGAGAATCGGATGAGATTTGACCAATTTGTGGGGTTGGGAAATTTTGACCCGTGTCTATATAGGAATCTTGGGGTAAGATCTTGGCATGAAATTCGACTAAAAAATATGTGTTCAGATTTGAATGCCAGATTAATCTGGAGGGAAAACTATGAAGAAAAAGCCAAACCTCGTGAGAATCGGATGAGATATGACCAAGTTATGGGGTTGGGAAATTTTGACCCGTTTCTATATAGGAATCTTGGGGTAAGATCTTGGCATAAAATTCGAC